CCCCTGCTCACCCGTCGGTCGCTTGCTGGCTACACGTGAAACCCACCATGCCTACCTAGTTCGCCGTTCGCACTTCCTTGCTCAACTGCGTCAGCGCTAAGCTCAGTGTCGCGTGTCGAACTCCCTCCTTCCCTTCTTCGTTCCCTTCCTGTGTCCGCTGTTCTGGAAATTGGTATTGTGTGTGTGAACCACCGACCAGCTACCACGTGCATATCTACATCGGACTACAATGTCATGGCATTCCAGTTCACGTGTCCCGGAGATCCGACTCCAGGGAGACGAAACTACGGGCCTCGTCGCACTACTCTCCATCCGCCAACATTTTGATTGCATCTGGACATCGCTTTTGTCCAGATGCATTCGAAATCTTGGCGGATGGCGAGTAGTGCAACTACCGGTAGGGCCTACAAGTCTCAGATTATCTCTGGAAGACTGGAGCTGTCCGAGAACGCCAGTAGGCAGGACTTGAGGCTAGATAGAGCATACTCGCACTACCGGTAGCACAGTCTCAAATGTATCCGAACGTAATCGCGCTATACTTGGATGTATCTCACCATAAAATGTGTCTATAATCATTAAGTTAAACGGTCGTAGAGTGAGGATGCCCTTACAACAGCGACTGCTGACGCGCAACATGCTCAATTCCGCTGTAGTACGGTTTTTTTTTTTTTTTTTTTTTTTTTTTTGGTAGTACGGTATTTTACAAAACCCCCTCCCCCCACTTCGACCTCTGCCGGTCGTCTGCTCAGAGGGGCCTCTACTACTAGTTGCACTACTGCCCCTTGGCCAGGGGCCTCTACTACTAGTTGCACTACTGCCCATCGGCCAACAGTTTGAATGCATCTGGACAAGATTGAGTCCAGATGCATTCAGAATGTTGGTGGAATGGATGGCGAGTAGTGCAACTACTACTAGTAGGCTCAAAGCCTCAAACCATCTGCTGCGATATATGGAGAACAGCAACCACCTACCCTCGTCAGGAGGCCATCGGCCAACATTATAAGATTGAGTCCAGATGCATTCAGAATGTTGGTGGAATGGATGGCGAGTAGTGCAACTACTACTAGTAGGCTCAAAGCATTCAAACCATCTGCTGCAATGTATGGAGAACAGCAACCACCTCCCCTCGTCAGCAGCTAACCCAAAACCCGTCTTGGCCGGAACATAACGCGCCCTGATAAAGACTGTATACGAGCTATATTTCCGGTCAGGTACAGCTCGGTTGGTTCACCTTATGGGCCTGGCTCCGCCACCTCACCGAATGCACAAAAAAAACTATAGCCAGTGAATCCCTCCACATCTCAACCCGGAGTGTCCAGTGCCTCGTTACCCAGTGAAGCTTATGCTGGAAACCGGGTCCAGCGTCCCTGAGCTGCAAACTTAATCAAGAAACTAGCTGCTAGTTTCTTGATTAAGTTTGCAGCTCAGGGACGCTGGACCCGGTTTCCAGCATAAGCTTCACTGGGTAACGAGGCACTGGACACTCCGGGTTGAGACGTGGAGGGATTCCCGGCCTCCTTTGATTATTAATGGAAAGTCTGCAACTTTGTTTAAAAAAAAAAAAAAAAAAAAAAAAAAAAAAACTATAGCCGTGTATCTTCCCATCTTCTAGCTGAAGATTCATTCTCATTTTTGAAAGTTTATTAATAGTGTGAGAAATGGAGCGAGGGGCTCACCAAGCACAGCGGCCGTAAATACAGACCTGTCCTCGACTCATGTCAATGGAACGAATTAACTGTAATAAATGAATGAGACTTCGATTTTTTTTAATTAAAAAAAAGAAAGGGCTACGGTCTTAGGCTTCGAATTACCCGGCGAACGGTCAGATGGACAATGATACAACAGGACGACGAAGATCTCAACGGCTGATGATGGAAGCTACCGCCTTCCTCCGAATAAAACGTACGGGCATTATATAGATGTATTTGAGGCATCTTTCAGTCTAGATACAGCTATAATGACCGTACGTTGTATTCGGGGGAAGAAGCTTACTAAAGTTACAACCGGAGGGCAGCAAGTGGAACCCAAACTCGGAGAACGAACCAGAAAACAGACAGGCTCTTGGGGACATCCGTGAAAATTGGAAGGATACAGAGGTTCAGAGAAAGAGAAGATTAAGATGGCCACTGCGCAAGGATGACACGCATTGTTAAGGAAACAAAAAAAAAAAAGAAGAAGAAGAAGTTACAGCATCAGTGAGAAGGATGACAGCAAATAAAAAAAAAAAAAAAAAAGAGGAACAGAAATGAAAAGGAGGACGTAAAAAGGCGATGGGAGTGAATAGTGCACATGGGAGAGAATCGTGCACACACGTGAGTCGTGATGTGTCATCATCATGAGTTGCGGTTGTACACATCATCAAAATCAAACACGCCAGCACACACACACACACACACACACACACACACACACACACACACACACACACACAAAGGCGATCAATACAGGTTTGACCTTCACAGCGGAAGATCCTCTGGGCACTCCTCAAGGATGACACGCATGTATCGGCAAATGCTCCATTTATATATAGGGCTCAGCCTCCTGATGAGTCGGTGAAACTTTGCCACAGCCTCTCCTTTGTTGTGCTCTTCTTCCGCTCTGCCCACAGTTTACCGGGCAGTTCTGTTTGGCGATTCATATATATATATATATAGAGAGAGAGAGAGAGAGAGAGAGAGAGAGAGAGAGAGAGAGAGAGAGAGAGAGAGAATATGTGGCGATTCTGGGGTGGTTTTTGAGGTCTGCTGATAAACTTCTCAGGCTCACGGCATAAAAAGAGGGACGATTCTGTGAATGTGCTAACTGCCATAAAAAGAGAGAACAACCGCGCAAGTGCCTTCACCTGGTCGGTCGCTTTCGGGGCCACCCCCTGCCGCTTCCTGGCCTCTTTGCCGACGTGGTTAGGTAGGTAGGTAGGTAGGAAGGTAGTAGGTAGGTAGAAAGGTAGATACTAGAAAGGTACACACTTGAAAGGTGGGAAGGAGGGACGGTCGGTAGGAAGGGAGGTAGGTGCAAAAAGATTCACAGCTCAGTGCATAATAACAGTAGCTTTTTCCTAAATGTATCTGACTGCAACTACGGCCCGACGTGGACGAAGGTGACCGCAAATCATATCCAGAGCTTAGTACATAAAGCTCATGTAGTGACTCCTATAAACCCGCCAAAATCGAGGGCATACTCGGACTACTGTCCAAAATGTATCTGACTCGAATTACGGCCAGACGTCGATGCATCTGACTGCAATCACGTCCGGAGCTCGGTCGAAAAAGTCCTAAAGGGAGTTGTAAGCCCCCACGCGCGCACTCACTGCCCCACCTTCACTCCGCTGTCACGCTGTGCTCCCCCTCCTTGCCTTCACTGCTCTGTCGGGCCTCGCCGAACCACCTTCACTCCGCTGTCACGTCTATGCAGAAATGAGGTTGGGTTTCCTCTAACTTT